CAAGTTAAAAAGCTACCCAATAATCTGAAATCTTTACTGGTCTTCCCCTAGCTGTTATTATCAATAATGATGAAATTAATTATCAGAGGCTCTAAAAGAGAACAATTACAATGTTACTGAGCATATCTTAAATTTTATTAAAATTCTGTACATTTGTGTTTCGTCAGGTCCAAGATCCTATCTGAAATTTGTTTTCCTATGTAAGAAACACCTGGGGATCTTGTTAAAATTTAGCTTCTGACTCAGTATATTGGAGGTGTAGATACAAATTCTCAGCAGGAAGTCGATTCAGAATAAATGGTTGGAAATCCTTGTTGAAACAAATCAATTATTTAGAGGACTTACATTTATTTTTGGAACTTACACCAGAGAGGAATTTTTTTTCTCTTAGGTCTCATAATTCTATGATGATACTGTCTATATTTTTGCACTTTGTACAAACTGGGATAGAATTAATAAAGGTTCTGTGGTAGTTAAGGTTATGTGTCAGCTTGGCTGGGCCTGGTTTTGAGTGGCTGGGCAGCTGAGTATAGTGATTCTCCATGATGAGATTGGAAATCAACTCCATAGTAGAAGCTGCTGTGAACAGCTAAGTAGCCACCTTAGGGGAGTGGTCTGCTTCTAATATATAAGAAGCTTTGAGAAAGGTCTCGGAGCTTTTTGGCAACTTTGGGCCCTGCAGGTAGCCTAATCTTCATTGAGCAGCTTGCTGTGTTACCTGCCGAACTTGGTACTGTTTCTGGACTTGATCTAGTAGCCTGCTGTGTTACTTAATAATCTTGGGACCGTGTCATTTTACTTCTCAACCTTGGGTTAGCAGCCCGCAGGGAGCTCTGGTGGCATACTACCTAAGGCATTTGAATGCTAACCAGAAGGCTGGTTGTTCAAAACCACCAGCCACTCCTTGGAAGGAAGGTTGGACAATCTACTTCCATAATGATACGGTCTGAGAAACCCAAGGAGGGGTCACTATGAGTTGGATCTGACTTGATGACAGTGAGTTTGGTTTGGTTTTTGGTTTAGTAGCCAGCAGTTGCCTGAGTTAAGAGAAGCCTTGAACTTCAATGGGCTAGAAGCAAGAGGCAGAGCTGAAGCCCAAGGTCAAAAGGCCATCATCACCCAGCCCCTAGAGCTGGCACTTTGAACTCAGACTTCTACCCTACTAAACTGTAAGAGAATAAAACCCTGTGTGTTAAAACCACCCGCTTGTATTTTCTTTTAGAGCAGCACTAGACAACCAAAACAGCTTCTTAACCTTGATTCAACAGAATTAAGATTTAGCTGGAATGAAGTGTTCCTAGGCTAATAATGTATGTACTTCTTGGTGTAGGTCATTTTACTGGCAGCGTAGTGCCTAAGGCATTTGACTGCTAATCAGAAGGATGGTGGTTCAAACCCACCAGCCACTCCTCGGAAGGAAGGTTGGGGAATCTACTTTCCTAATGATACTGCCTCGGAAACCCAAGGAGGCGTTGCTTTGAGTTGGGGCCAACTCGACGGCACGTAACAACACAACACTATGTCCTAGTTCTTTGAGTGTAGGATTTGTTTATTTTTTGTGGAACTTGTTATGTAGTTGTTAATCAAATCACTAAATAAGTGATTAAACCCACAAAAAACTCAATGTCTGGGAGGAGTAAGCACTTGTCAGCAAGTGCTTAAGATTCCTTTCACCTGAGCATTGGGTACTCTGAAGTGCGAAAAACTAATATCCCTAGCCATTAGCAAAATGTATATTTTATTGGCTGGAGGTTTTCACCATCTTTTGAACTCCTGGCTCTATCAATGTCGCTTTCAGTCGCATCAGATATCTCCTGCTCTCCGGCACCACACCTGTAGTTAGTATGGCAAAGGATTCACTTACCTTAGCTACTTTTTTGAGTATTCAAAATTTCCTGAGGGCCTCAGAGGAAAATATCACATGTGATTACCCACATTAGAGGCATAAGTATAAGCGAATCATTCAATGAGTGCCTAGGTTTTGTCAACCTTGAGATTCTAGATACTGAAGGTAGTTTTTTGAGAACGATGAGATAGATCTCCAACGAGATTTCCTTAGGCTCTTTCCTTCATTTATCAAGTTCCCTCTTTCCTTCATTTATCAAATTTTAAAAACTGTTGCTACCAATTCTGGAGGTATTTAAGGAAGCAGTATTAATATAATTAAAAAGTGATTTGTTTGGGGTTATGAATTAGAAGACCTCTGTTCCAGATTCAATTGTCAATAATTAACCAGGCAATCCTCATTATCTGTGTAAATCTTTTATACTAGGTTATAAAGTGAAGATAATTACTGCTCTATCTACCAATCAGGGGGAGCTCTGGTAGCATAGTGCCTAAGGCATTTGACTGCTAACCAGAAAGCTAGTGGTTCAAACCCACCAGCTACTCCTCAGAAGGAAGATGGGGCAATCTACTTTCATAGTGATACTGCCTCAGAAACCCAAGGAGGGGTCACTATGAGTTGAGTCTGACTTGATGGCACATAACAACTACCAACCAGGGGAGCTCTGGTAGCATAGTGCCTAAGGCATTTGACTGCTAACCAGAAGGCTGGAGGCTCAAACCCTCCAGCCACTCCTCGGAAAGAAGGTTGGGCAATCTACTGTAGAGATGTTGCCTCAGAAACCCAAGGAGGAGTCGCTATGAGTCGGGTTTGACTTGACTGCAGTTGAGTTTTGACTTTCTACCAACCAGACCATCTGTCGTAGCCCATTATTAATTATTTTATTTACTGGTTTATTTCATAAATAAACCCATTTGAAGGCAGAAACTATATTTTATTGGTTTGTATCTTAAGTGCTTATCACAATGACTGTTATATTGTATATACTAAATAAAATACACATTGGTCCAATGAATTAATAAAAATATTTGGAAATTTTCACAGTGCTAAATAAATGTAAGCTGTTAGAGGGAAAGAGGTAGAACTTCCATGTGTTTTCCTCTCCTCTGGACAGGTAGTTTTTGCCTGTGGCCATATGGCCTCAGGAAATCAGTATTAGTCTGCATAGATAGATTGACTGGTGTCTGGATGTTGTTGCATCTTACACTCTCATCTTTCTGCAACTGTGCTCAGTCCAAAGGTCTTGGGCTTCCTTTGGATCACTTGGTATCCCTTGTTATACAGTGCTCCCCGTATACAGCCATGCTGATACTGTCAGACTATACCTGTAAAAAAAAAAAAAGTCAAATATTTATACCACAGCACATTTTGTATCAAACTTTCAGGTTTGCCTATGCCTTTTTCTTAAGATCTTAATTATTGAGATTTTATATAGCAGGCACTATACGTTTATAGGTATTAACTCACTATATCCTCACATCTCTATGGTGTAGGTACTATTATCTCCACTTTGCAAATGAGCATTGAAGAAAAAAAAGGTCATATATTTTGCCCAAGATTACTCAAGACTGGTGGAGCTATTTTAATGTGGGCTCTTGAACTCCAGAGCCCATGCTTTACCCACCATGCTATGCAGCCTCCTGACTGCTTTTCATGCTATTTCATAATTTTATAATTAACCTTTCATTTGCAAAAGAGTAACAGGCATTTTAAAGCTTATTTTGCTTCATTATTAAACACCCTTTATAAGTAGTTATAGTTATATAGTTACCCAAAGTTTTAACTGGGGTGTATTTTGTGTGCTCATCCTGGTAGTGAGGATAAAGTTTGGAACAATGCTTTCATTTGCCCATACAGCAAAGCGAACACTATAGCAAGTTAAACACACACACACCAGAAATGTACTCAAAATTGTACATTAAAACTCTAAATGTTGAATAAATGTTCAACAAAATATAGCTGACCATAAAATGAACTATTTTATAACTAGCTTAAATCAAGGCTAGTTTTCTATTTCTATAGTATTTTATAAGCTACTAACTACCTTGACATCAAAATGGTTAACAATTATACTGCTATTCAATGATCATGGAAAGCCAATGATTTTTATACATGTATGATTCCCTTCATAATAGCAGACCTCATGTGTTAAACAGCAAATTTTAGCAACTTAGTCATAATACAGTGTTAAGTATTTCAATATGCATGAATGAAGGTGTAAGAAACTGTGTAAGCAAAATTAAGTTAGGGTAACTTCAGAAGACCAGTTTTTCATACCTCTTTTCTATTAGCATACAAAAGCTGTTAATGTATAAAAACTATACATTAAATATAGTTTGAATTACCCTGTAGCTACATTCTGAAGGGGTTGTAACATTGTTGATTAGAACAGATAATACTAAAAAGGCAAAAACATTATAACTCATAGACAGTACACAAGACTTTTTATATCAGCTGTAAAAATAGTGTGAATGCCGATGTTTTATTTGCCACAGGGATAAGGAGGGAAACATCAGTGAAATAAATTTGATAACATGACTCACACTTCATTACAAGTGATTTTTGTAAATTCACAACTTTCACATTTGGCTGAGCTAAAAAAAAAAATAAGGAAAAACTAAAATAGGAACTTAAGCTATATTTCACTAGATGTAAGTAGGCCAAGTCACATGATCCCTTTAAATGAGGAAGTTCAAATGAGAATGAGTGCACTGTTCAAGCCTGGAAAACATTTCCCTTAGGGAGTTTAAATAATTTACCCATGGCAATGGACAAGACTTTTGGGTCAGGATCAGAAATCTGATAGAGATTTTGAAAGAATTGGGCAAAAATTGATTATGGAACACATTTAGCACATTTTCTTGCTTAAGTTTTAATAGTTAAAGATAAAAGGAATCCATACTACTTCACTGTCTTTCAGGTCATCTTCTAAAATCCTTCTAGATTTCCAAGGTAGACTATTAGTGAATTAACGTTTCACCAACTTTAGCACCCTATAGAAATAGTAAGAATAATGAAAACATGGCTATTTAAACTGCTCATCTCCTCACAGTCCCAGTCTTTTTTAAAAACAATGTAGGCAGAAGTACGAAGCCTTTACAGGCATCTGGAGTGGAAGGGAGTTTAGAGATTGAGAAAATATGCTTTTCACCTTTCTCCCTGGTTTTATATTTAGATAAAGTGTGAAAGGTGTCAGAGACTTGAATGAATGGGCTCCTCACAAAACATCATTCTTCCCTAAGTTCCCGCCCCCCTATGAAAAAAAAAAAAAAAAAAAAAAGTGCTCGGTACCACAAGCGTTTAAGGCTTAAAAGCCCATTAATAACCACGCTGCAGCCATTGCTGTGGGGAATCATCACTTTTAAAATAAAAATTGCCAGCAGAATCTCTTCAAAAAGAGACTGAAATCACTCGCCCTCCCCAGGAGGCATGAGAGCAAAGAAGACAGATATTGCCCCCTACTTGCACGTGTGATCTCCCTTTCTCCTTGGACCCCCCTACTCCTTTCCCGCCTCTCCCACACCAGTCAGGCCGCCTTGGAGATAGCTGGGAGAAAAGGCAGGACTCAGTCCTCCATGGCAAAGTCTTTGGTCTTTTCCTCCTGGTCCCCCACTTTGTAGCGCAGCAGCACGCGCAGGCGGCGGGGGTTGTCCCGGGAGGGCAGCAGCGTGATCTCTCCGGAAATGTCCGTGTCTTGCTCCACTTGCACCGGCTCGTTCAGGTACAGGAGCGCCTGCTTCCAGTGAGTTGCCGGGTGAAATGGTGAGGTGGACAGCACTAGGGGTTTCTCCGAATCCCCTCCGGGGAATGTCACCTGGAACCAGATGGCGAAGCCGTGCATAGGCGCCGAGCCGTAGCAGCTGCAGCGGAAGCGCCCACCCACCCCGGCCTCCAGCTCCTGCTCCAGCCCCGCACGGGCCAGTTCCAGCTGAGCAAAGCGCTGCGGCCGGGCCAACACGTCTTCACCCGACAGGCCCTGCACCACGATCTCCGAGTGGCCCATGAGGCAGCGCGTGGCGAAGCTCTCGAGGCAGCTCATGTCCACGCCGTAGTGCTGCTTCACTTGGCTCCAGAAGCCCAGGCGCCAGTCCAGCATCTGGTCGCTGATGGGTGCCACGAAAAGCTCGGCGGAAGCGGGCAGGAGAAGGCCGCCCTCCTTCAGCCACTTGCTCCGCGCATGGAGCACGGAGCTCAGCATTGACTCGTGCAGTAGTCCGTAGCCCATCCACTCGCTCACGATGGCATCCACCTGTTCTGGCAACTCCACTGTCTCCACCGGCCCCGGCAGGACGTACACTCGGTCCTCCAGCCCGTTGAGCCGCACCACCTCCCGGGCCTGTTGCCAGATGGCGCTGGCCTCCACTGCGTACACGCGCCGGGCCCCGGCCTGGGCACAGAAGATGCTCAGAATGCCAGTGCCCGCACCCACGTCCAGCACCGTTTTACCTCGCAGCCCTGACCAGTTCCGCAGGATGCCCAGTCGATATGCATCGGTGCGGACGCGGTCAGCGATCATTTCCTCGTGCACTGATACGTCCGAATAGCACTCATAGTACAGCTGGTCCCGCTCCCGCTTAGTTCTCCGGGGTCGCGACGGGACCGCCTCCCGCTCTCCGCCATCTTCCTCTCCAGTTCCCTCCCCTCCTTCGCAGCCGCCCCCCGACTCAAGCTTTCTTTTTTTGAGCAGCGACATCTTGGCCTCTCCGGCCGGCTCCCGATGGGCGTTGCGCGGCGTCGCGCGGCCCAAGGATGCAGGGGCTTCTGGGACATGTAGTGCGTGTACGTGCTTTCTACTTCTGAAGGATCGCCAGTCTGATCCCCCAGCCCAGTGCCTTTAAAGTTGTGAAATCCTCTACGTTTTGTGATTGTATCAGCCTTCCCCAGGAAGCTCTGGTAGCGTAGTGCCTAAGACACTTGACTGCTAATCGGAAGGCTGGCGGTTCAAATCCACCAGCCACTCCTCAGAAGGAAGGCTGGGCAATCTACTTCTGTATTGATACTGCCTGGGAAACCCAAGTTGTTGTTGTTGTTGTTGTTATGTGCCATCGAGTCGACCCCGACTCATAGCGACCCCTCCTTGGGTTTCCAAGGCAGTATCACTACGGAAGTAGGATTGCCCAACCTTCCTTCCAAGGAGTGGCTGGTGGGTTTGAACCGCCAGCCTTCTGGTTAGCACTCAAGTGCCTTAGCCACTATGCTACCAGAGCTCTTGGGTTCCTTATAAGTCGGGTCTGACTTGAAGGCACATAACAACAACAGTTTCGCCTTCTTACCATAGTTCGTTTCATTCCACTGAATTATAAGGTGGCACCCTTCGTATACTACCAATTTATCTGAAACATTGCAACTACAATTTCTTTACTGTTTTCAGAAGAGGTAGAGTGCAAAAAAATGTGTAAATAAAGCAAAGTAATAACCTAACAAAGCAAAACCTTGTTCCTGATCTAATCTGACCACTAATTGAATGATTTAGGGTAAATAACATAACTTCTCTGGCCTGTCAATTTCCTATTCACCAACAAGCAACAAGTAATCTTCATTGCAGTGGGAGAAGACTTATGTTTTTGGCCTTCATTTCAGGACAATAGCTCTCTTTTGTCGCCTCTTTCCGATTCTGCACCTTATTCAAGGGTTAAGTCCTGGACTGGTACAAGCTAAAAAGAGGTTGAAAAGCAACAAACCTGTGATAAAATCAAAGCTATTTCCAAGTATTCCAGTATCCAATTATAATATCCTCCATGCACCTCTTCCAAATAACTGTATCCCTCATCTTTTCTAATCAATTTTTAACTCCTAAATTGTTCTCATGTGTGTGTCTCTGCCTTTTCTGGGCAAGATTAGTACTCTCCTCTCCTCCTATTGTCCTTTTAGTCAACCACCAGAAACCTTCTTTGATAGTCATAATGGAAAAAGAAAATCCATATTTTTAAATATGTGTGATGTCTATGAGTGTCTATGTTATTCACAACTCAGGTGACAATAACGTTTTTCCCCAACACACAAAAAAAGAAAAATCACCTTTCAAAATTGGCTTTTTTCCTATGTGATCTTGAACTCTCTGTTTTTTTTACTTATTTTTGTTTGCCCAGCCAAACATACACCAATTCAATAATTTCTACACATAAAATTCAATGACGTTGTTCACATTCTTCAAGTTATACATCCATTCTCACCTTTTTCGAATTGCTCCTCATTAACATAAAATCACTACATTTGACTGTTAACTAGAAAGATGGTGGTTCAAACCCACCAATTGCTCTTCAGGAGGAAATGAGGAAATCTACTTCCCTAAAGATTTAGTCTTGGAAACCAATGGGGGTTGCTATGAGTTGGAATCAAATAGATGGTGGTGTTGTTGTTGTTGTTATGTGCCGTTGAGTCGGCCCCGACTCATAGCCACCCCTCCTTGGGTTTCCGAGGCAGTATCACTATGGAAGTAGGATTGCCCAACCTTCCTTCCCAAATAGATGGTAGTGGGTTTAAACTTCCTTTGTAACCCACCAGCCACTCCTCAGAAGGAAGATGGGGCAATCTACTTCCCTAGTGATATCCCCTCAGAAACCCAAGGAGGGGTCCCTGTGAGTCGGTGAAACTCCAGGGCACATAACAACAACATGTAACCTTTCCAGTTACTGCTGTCTGTCAATTTCATCCCATATAGATAGTTCTTAAAAAAAAAAAAAAAAAAAACTCAGTGCTCAAGGCAGATATTCTTTACTAATCAACATGAGCTAACTGGTGGCACAGTGCCTAAGGCACTTGACTGCTAACAATGAAGTCTGGTGGTTCAAGCCCACCAGCCACTCCTCAGAAGGAAGATTGGGCAAACTACTTCCGTAGTGATACCGCCTCAGAAACCCTAAGGGGGTTAACTATGGGTTGGTCGGACTCCACAGTAGTCGTTTTTGTTTTTGTTTTTTTGGTCAAAGGATTTTAATGTGCAGGCAAAGTGAGAACCACTGTTTCTTATTACAATTTTCTGAGTTCATTCTTGCTTCATCGTTTTTCATTGGGTAAATTATCATCTTCCGGAGGGCTTGGACTCACCTACAACTACTTAAAGCCAGAAATTCTTAGAGTAGTTCTTCCTCCACTCATCTCCTTTTGGTTTAATACCTTGTTTAAAGAAAATAGACCCACAGAGTAGGACTTGATATTGGAGTCGTAAATGTGGTCACTTTAGACCAATTACTCTCTAGTGAATTCTGACTCACGGTGCCCCAAGTGTATTAAGTAGAATTGTAATCCACAAGGTTTTCAATGGCTGATTTTTTCAGAAGTAGATCACCAGGTGTTTCTTCTGAGATGCCTATGGGTGGACTTGAGCCTCCAATCTTTTGATTAGCAGTTGAGTGTATTGTTTGCTCCTCCTGGGACTCCTGTCACTAATATATAACTAACAGGTTGTTATTTAATGTATACTTATCCCATTCTTTCCTTCCCCAAAATGTCATCTTCCTTTATAAATGTATGCATTCTTCAATTTTTAATTCATATTTTTCTGTTATCTTTTATGAAAATTAGAAATATAAGTTTTTTTTTTTTCTTTTTTTTTTGAGGGGGTTCTACCTCCAAAATATATCTTGAATCCATTTACTTTTCTCTGTCTCTACTGCAAAAACGCTATTCTAATCTTCCATCTTTGCTTGCCTGGGAATCAGTCTCCAAATGGATCTTCCACGTTTCATAACAAAATTTCTCTAATCCGTTCTCCACAATACTGCAAGAACAAGCTCTTAAACACCCAAATTGGATCATACCATTCTGCTTAAAAAATCCATTCATCACGCAACAGCCCAGTCTACTTCCCTTTTTTTTTTAAATTGTGATTTGGGTGAAAGTTTACAGAGTAAATTCACCTTCCATACAGCAGTTCACACACACTTTGTCTCATGACATCGACTACAGTTTACCCCAATGCAACAGCTCCCCTCCCACTTCCTCCTGACAGTTACCTCTTCCCTGTGTCCATCCCTCCATGAATTCCTGTCCTCTGAACTGTCTCCCTGTTCTGGTAATCTAGTTCTGCTCTGATAAGAATATACCACAAATGGGATGACCTTAGCAAAAAGGAGTTTATTCTCTTACAGTTTGGAGGCTTTAAATCTAAATTCAAAGTGCCAGGCTCTAGGGGCTGGGTGAAAGCCCCTCAACCTTGGGTTCCAGCTCTGCCTCCTGCTCTCAGCCCACTGGAGCTGAGACATTTCTTCACTCAGACAGCTGCTAGCTGCTGAGGCTGAGAAACCCAAGGTTGACAAATAAAAAGGCACAGTCCCAATATTACCAAATCACATGGTAGGCCATTATACAAGTCCATTGTAAGTCCCAAGGTGGGCAGAGCATGACAGACTGCTGAACAATGACATGGTTACATGTAGGGTTCAGGGTGCTAGAGACTATCCCCAAGGCTTCTTCTTATATACAGGAAGCAGACCACATCCCAAAGACAGCTACTCAGCTGCTTGTGGTAGATCTCACCATGGAGGTGACTGCCAGTCTCATCATGGGGAATAACTACCACCAGCTGCCCCGCCACTCAACCAGGCCCAGCCAAGTTGACACACAAACATAACCAACACACTCCCTATGCATCAACAGCCCTTCTTTCTCCCACTGTTATAGTTAAATTTGTGTGTCAACTTGGCCAGTGAAAAAAAGCCTCTACCTTCAGTGGGCCAGGAGCTGGAGGCAGAGCTGAAGCCCGACAACTGAAGGGCTTTCACCTATCCCTAGAGCCTGGCATTTGAATTCAGACTTAAAGGCTCCAAATTGTAAGAATAAACTACTGTTTGTTAAGGTCATCCCATTTGTGGTATATTCTTGTCACAGAGGCACAGGTAACCAGAACACCCATGATTGTTCCCTCCAAGGAGTGTATCTAACTCAGATAAATGTTTAGCTCATATGCATGCCTGTCTTTTGTTTGGCTGGAAGCCACAAGTGTGGGTTCAATTCCAGACCTGAAGGGCAGCTAGGGGTCATAGACTCAGTGGTTCTACCAGGCTTTGTCAGACCAGCAAACCTGCCCCCCCCCCTTTTTCTCCAAATGATTTTGAGTTTTGTTGTACATTGTTCTCTCTCTCTATCCAGGATCTCCTGGATAAGTGGATCCCTGTCCAAGTGGTTGACAGTGGTAGCCAGGCACCATCTAGTTCTGGTCTCACAGTCATATAGGCTGTGGATCACATGGTGTACCAGTCGCTTGGACTAATTTTTTCCACAAATCTTTGGTTTTCTTCTTTATTCTTTGCTCTGGATGAGGAGAGACCCATTGTTTCATCTAGATGGCAGCTTGTAAACTTTTAAGATCCCAGTTGCTACTTGCCTAAGTAGGAGGTGGAACAATGTTTTGTGTAGTATGTTATGTCAATTGAGCTTGATGTCCACTGCAATTACGGTCCTGAGCCCACAGGTTCAACTACTCACTCCCTCTAGGTAGCTGGCTGTGACCAAGAAGTGACTACAACCTTGTCCCTTGTCAGCTCTACTATAGACCTGGGAATTCTTAAAGAACATACAAATGCACTTATAGAGCCATTGTCTGCAAACCCTATACATGGCCTTGGGTACACTCCCTGCTGCATAGACATACCTAATAGTTCAACCCATCCACCCATTTATCCACCCATATACCCATGTTTGCTTTCACTGACAATGCAGTACTGTATGTGCAAAAAGGTTCATCTTTGATGACTGGACCTCCTATGTGCCTCTTTATGTCTTCCTCTTCCTCAATGCCACCATGTTGATTACTCAC